ATTTTACATTAACGTTCAATTTAGTTTCTTTTTTATGAAAGTTTCTTTAACTTTTTTATTTTTTTTGATAACATAGTAATCTAAAAAATATGTTCTTTTCAATTTTATGAATGTTCTTTTTCAATTTTTATGAACGTTCTTTTCAATATAATGAACGTTCTTTTCAATTTATGAATGTTCTTTTTTTTTAATAATAATTAATTAATATCAGATATGTACTTTGATCTCTTTATAATTTGTGAAATTTTTTTTTTTTTTTTTTTACAAGTTCAATTCAATTCATTCAATTTCGGTTATTTAATAAAAAAGATAATGTTTTTATTAATTTTTTAACAACTTTTTGTATTGTGTCTTAAAAAAGTAATTTTTTATCGTTTCATATTGCATTAATTTTTTCATAAATTATTGCGTCTTAAAAAGTTGATTTTTTCGTTCGTTTTATATTGCGTCTTAAAAAATTAAATTTTTTCGTTTTATATTGCGTCTTAAAAATGAACTTTTTTTCGTTTTTATATTGCGTCTTAAAAAATTAACTTTTTTTTCGTTTTTATATTGCGTCTTAAAAATTAAATTTTTTCGTCTTAAAAAAATAAATTATTGCGTCTTAAAAATTAATTTTTTTTTCGCCTTATTTTTGCGTAATTAAAATTTTCGTCTTAAAAAATAAATTATTGTGTCTTAAAAAAAGATTTTTCGTCGTAAAAAAATGTTTTCATCTTAAAAATAAATTTTTTCACCGTAATCTTGAAATGTATTAGATAATAATATTTTTTGTATTAATAAATAAATTTTTTTATTCGCTTATATATATATATATATATATATATTAATATTATATATATTAATATTATATATATACATTTATTAACGCGTAAAAATCCGACATTGCAAATAAAACTTACGTTACTCTTGGTATATTTGTCATATTTTTACTACGTTATTCTACGTAGTATCTATGTTGTAATGATGTTGGTCTACGTTGTAGTCGTTGTATGATGTGATATCAACTAATTTATTAAATTTATTAATCAATTTTAAAAATCAATTTAATCAATTACCGATAAATCAAAAGAAGCATAATTCTAGTCTTAGATTATTATAAAATGACATTATTTTCATTGTTTTTAATACTAACCTTGTTTTTAATACTAACCTTTTAATACTAATCAATATTTGAAATAAAAAATGACAAATTCATTTAAAAAATGACATTTTGAATAAAAAAAACAAAGAAATCCTTTATACTTACACGGTACCTTTCAATGATTGGATGAAATTATTTACCATATGGGTAGATCATATGAAGATTATATATATATACTGAAATTTTTTAACTCAGTAATTTTTCTTTTTTTTGTTTTCTGTTTATTGTTTATAAGAAAGTTTTTTTTTTTTTTTCTTTATCAAACAAATAAATTTTTTCTTCTTTATTTAAAATGAAATCTTTTCTTTGTTCATATATCAAAAATGTCATAATGTTCATAATGTTTAATGTTTAATGTCTATCATCAAAAGTTTCAGGATGAAAAAGAAAAACATTTGACGAATTTATTTATCATCATCAGGATGTTACAAATAACATGATAATCATTATATTCATTAATAATGCTTAATGCATGAAATATATTTTCCGATAAATAATGTAATGTAATATAATATTTTTTTCTTTAAGAAACAACAATAAAAAAAAAAGTTTTCTGATTTCATTGTCATTATTTACTATAAACTTTATTATTAAAAAAGAAAGAAAGAAACTTTTTTTCTTTTTTAAGTCATACGACCCATACGTAGTAAGTAGTAACAACAATGTAACAAGAAAAAAAAATTTAAAATTTAGAAATTTTTATTTCCATTAAAATTCCGTTAAATTCCGTAATCTCATCTTTGCAAAGTTAACTTGTTTAACTTGTTTGTTTTAATTTTTAATATTTAAATATTTAAAATATTTATTTATTTATTTATTTATGTCATGTTATTTTATCTTGTTACGTTATCTGTTTTTTTTTTTGATATGGGCTGTTTTATTTATATTAAATATTTATTTAAATATTATTGAGTCTTTAAAAAAACTTTAGTAAATCTTTAAATTTTTTTCATCAACCTTTTACTGTGTTTACTGTGTTTATTGATCTTCACCTTAAAAACCTATGCACATGGTAACACGGCTTCTCTATTTGATTTCATTATTTTTGGATAACAAGGGAACCTTTTCTTTATGAAGATCCTTATAAACTATTAGTAAATCATAATTTTCAACGAAGATGAAACATAAAAAAGAATTTTGGAATTTTGAAAATCTGGTTCTTCGTTTGGGTTTATTCCAAAAAAATAAAATTATTGTAAATCAAATTAAAGGAAATGATCCACTAAAATTTCCTTCTGTAAATTATGACCTACATGGGCCAATCATTTAAAATTCACGTGATTTAATCGTCACAATTAGCGTCATTAGCGTTACTATTAGGACGAGGTCATCATCCAAATGTACCAATCAATCAAAACTAAGGAAATATATATTGTAAATCAAATCTTCTTTTTTATCGTATGACTTTGATACTATTTTCTTTAATATTTCTTTATTAACGAATTGGACAAAGAATTTATTTCATATTAGATCATTATTAATTGACTTTGTAGCAATAATAGCAATAATCAATTGTAATTTATCCAATTTATCTATAAAAAAATTATAGCGTTGTCGGACCGATTCCCGACATCCATTTTCTCGGCATAACCTTTTCACCGACAACAATTTCCCGAAAAGACAAATTCCTGAGTGGACATTTCCTCGAAAAGCATTTTTTCCTGACCATGACATTATCTCGACATGAAATTTTCCTGAAACCAAATTATTAAAAAGGATTGAGTATACAATAAATAACAATAAAATAATAATACATTATAACTGATAAATCGCAAATATTTATTAAAATATTCTTTTGCGAGACTACACAAACAATGTTTTACAAATAGACATACAAAATAATAAACTGAGCAAAATAATCAATTTAGAAAATAATTGTTGACCATTTCATATTTTTTTTGTCATTAATATCTAATACTTTTTAAATATTTCGTTAACGTTAATTTTTCAAATTAAATAAATTTGACGATATTCCTAAACTGTAAATAATTTATGATAAATTTCATGAAATTTTTTAGCCGTAATATTCTATAGAAAAGTTTTTTTTATAAGATCATTAATTTATTTATTATATAAAAAAAATTTATTTTTATTTTTATTTTTTTCGCAGTAAAATAAAGTATTTTTGTAAATCATTTTTCGTAATTTTGATTTTGGGAAATTGTCATGTCGAGGCAATATCATGTCGGGAAAAGTTCTTTCGGGAAAATGTTCATTCAGGATTTGTCTTGTCGGGAAATTGTTGTCGGGAAAACGGTTACGTCGGGAAAGGTTACATGGGAAAGGTTACATGGGAAAGGTTAAATGGGAAAGGTTACGTCGGGAAATCGTTCCGTAACCAATTATAGATTGTGAATATAGGAATTTTTCAGCAGCAGTATTATTAATTTTGGCCAATGAAGGGAGAGTCTTATAAGGAGAATCAAAAGTAAAGAAAAAATTATCATATTTGAAACATAAGCTTTGAACAGAATGAGTATTAGGAGTTAGTATTGGTATATAATAATGTTTAAAAAGTACATACGTACGACACACATACATGTCTTAAAATTTTAAAGTAATCAATGTTAAAACAGTCCTAGTTCCATTATAAAGTGGCCAATACTGATTTTAACATGTGACTTTTATTTATTATACGGATCATATGAAAAATATTAAAATAATTGTCACCCACCCGCTTTCCCATTTTTACTAAGTACTCGTATTTTTTTGGCGTGTGAAATCTTATTTGCCACAATTATTTGTCACATACTACTTCGCCACCAGTTAACAGCAAAAGTCACGCGATAGTAATTGACAGTTTGACGAACCAAATAAAGTTATTGTCACATGATGTTGACGATTTAAAATTGATAAAACAAACTTACCGGTAGTCGGTAGAATATAGTTTAAAGTGACACATTGTAGTGCTTACGTTAATAATAAATGGCACAGTTTTTATTCGAAGTTGCAATCTGATTGGTTATATTTTTTTAACCATTTATCATATCCATCAATTTCGCATTGATTATCTATCGACGTAACACTATATCTTATATTCATTGTAGACTTACCGTTTATGAATGTCATTTGTTAAGAAAAACGTGTTACTAACAAAAAAAAAAAAAAAATTTGCAAATTTGCATATTGTCACACGTCAACTTTCATTTTTATTCTTCTGTAACCAATTTTATTTTTTATTATTTTTTCGTTATCAAATACTGATTTCTGTTCAAAATTTTATATTCAATGAAGAAAACAGGTAGTAATGGAAATAATAAAAAATAATTTTAAAGGAAATAATTTCAAAAATCGGTTTACCAGTGGAAATAAAAAAATTGATGATTTTATTCAAAGAGAGAATGATAGGCGGATGGTTAAGTTTGAATGGATATCATACAATCAATTTATTGATATTGAAGAAACGGACGTACAAGGTTTTGTTACGGCAATATGGAAAGATAGCTCATTAGAGTTTTATGAAGATTTTGGAATGTATATAAGAGATTTAAATAAAAAAGTTGTTTTAAAAATTTTTAATAACTCTAATAACTCTCAAAATATTTCTTATGAATTTTTAAACAAGGTATGTGGTATTTATGACTTTTTTTTTAAATTTTACTTACTAAATATATTTTGTGTTTATATGTTTAGGTAAAATCATATTTAACAACAGAGGATGAGTTTATTACAAATTCATTATATTATGATGGTAATGATAATTATAATTATTGTTATGGAATGTCTCAAAATCCAGATACAAAAGATTATATTTTAGTTTTTCATGAAAAATATCTTGAAACATGTTGTAAGAACTGTGGTGAGAATTACTCAGATGTAATATATGAGTGGTGTAAGCCATGTCAAATTAGTTTTTTGAAAAATAATTTTACAAATTGGACTAGTACTAGTGGAAATAAGCAAATTGATGATTTTATTCAAAAAAAACAACTGCAAATTGAAAACCAATAGAATATAATATTTGAATGGATACCATACAATCAGTTTACTAGCATTCAAGAGATAGGAAATATTGGTGCTATAGCAATATGGAAAAATGGTCCATTATATTATAAACCATATTTAAATAAATATGAAAGAAAATTGATAAATGAAAATGTTAGTTTAAAATATTTATCCAATATATTAGATATCCTTGATGAATTTTTAGATAAGGTATGAAGTCCATTTATAATCTTGAATTTAAAATATTTTATTAATATATATATATATATTATATTATTATAGGTTAAATCAAAAGATATTGCCAGTTATGGAATGTCTCAAAATCCATATACAAAGGATTATATCCTGGTTTCCCATAAAGAATATTTTGAAATATATTGTTTAAAATGTGATGAAGAATATATAAATATAAAATATAAATGGTGTAAACCATGTCAAATTGATTTTTTGAAAAATAATTTTATAAACTGGACCAGTGGTAATAAACAAATCGATAATTTTATTCAAGAAAAGCAATTACAAATTTATAATCCATCAGAAATGGTATTTGAATGGATACCATACAATCAGCTTACTGGCATTCAAGAAATAGAAAATATTGGTACTATAGCAATATGGAAGAATGGTCCATTATATTATAATTCAAATTTAAATAAATATGAAAGAAAATTGGAAAATGAAAATGTTAGTTTATCTGATATATTAGATATCCTTGAAGTTTTAGATAAGGTATGAAGTCCATTTATAATCTTTAATTTAAACCATTTTTATTAATATAATATATATTGAATTGTTATAGGTTAAATCAAAAGATATTGTCAGTTATGGAATGTCTCAAAATCCAGATACAAAGGATTATATTTTGGTTTCTTATAAAGGATATTTTGAAAAATATTGTTTAAAATGTGATGAAAAATATACAAATATGAAATATAAATGGTGTAGACCATGTCAAATTGATTACTTGAAAAGTAATTTTATAGACTGGACTAAAATTAAACAAATTGAAGCTTTTATTGATTTTCTTCAAAAAGAGCAATTCAAATGGATACCATATGAACAGTTTAGTGATATCAAAGAAATAGGAAATATTGGCGCCACAGCAATATGGAAAAATAAGCCATTAATATATGACTTCTTAATAGGCCAACAAAGATCAGTTGCTTTAAGATATTTGTATAATTTGCAATATATATCTGATGAGTTTTTAAGTATGGTATGAAGTTATTTATGAATTTAAGTTATATAAACATTTCCTTTTATACTATATACTAATAAATGAAATATATATTATATCATAGATTAAATCAAAAGATATTACCAGTTATGGTGTGTCTCAAAATCCAGATACAAAAGATTATATTTTAGTTTTTCATGAAAAATATCTTGAAAAATTTTGTAAGGATTGCGGGGAGAATTATCCAGATGAAATAAATAAATGGTGTAAATCATGTCAAATTGATTTTTTGGAATGTAATTTTGCAAGTTGGACCAGTGGAGATAAGCAAATTGATTGTTTTATTCAAGAAAAGCGATCACAAATTGATAGTCCATTAGATATAGTATTTGAATGGATATCATACAATCAGTTTAGTGATATTAGAGAAAGAGAAAATGGGTTTGCTGCAGCGGTATGGAAGGATGGTCCATTAAAATTTGATAGATGTTCAAAAAAATATGTAAGGAATTTAAACAGAAATGTTGCTTTAAAATACCTATATGACTTTCAATATATTACTGATGAATTTTTAAACAAGGTATATAAATGTTTATAAATTTAATTTTGCTTATTAAATATATTAACGTTATGGTATAATTACTATAATAGGTGAACTCATATTTAACTAGTTATGGAATATCTCAAAATTCAGATACAAAAGATTATATTTTGGTTTTTCATGAAAAAATGTTTGAAAATTCTTATGAATATTTAAATAAATATTTAGAAAAGTGTTTAGAAGAACATTTTGAAAAATATTGTGTAAAATGTGGTAAAGAATATACAAGTGAAGTATATAAATGGTGTAAATTATGTATGATAAATTGTAAGAATATAAGAATTGTTAACGTCATTAAAATTAATTCTAAAATTAAGTGGATACCATATAATCAATTAAGTGATATCAAAGAAATAGGAAAAGGTGGTTTTGCTACAGTATATTCAGCAATATGGAATAATAGGAAAGTTGCTTTAAAATGTTTACATAATTCTCAAAATTTCATTTATGAATTTCTAAATGAGGTATGAATATAAAATATTTTTATGATCTGATTATTTTTTAATCATTGTAATAATTTATATATACTTATTTTAATAGGTTGAAGTTTATTTAGCATATACAAATCAGAAATTTAGTAATATTCTTAAAATATATGGGATGTCTCAAAATTCAGATACAGAAGAATTTATTATAGTTCTTGAATATGCAGAAGGTGGAAACTTTAATGATTATTTATATAGAAATTACAAAAGTTTTAATTGGTCAAATAAATTACAAATATTAATGAATATTATTAAAGGTCTTAAAGAAATTCATCAAAAGCAGATGATCCATCGTGACTTTCACACGAAGAATATATTGTTTAAGCATATAGAATATATCAATATATGTATTTCAGATATGGGATTATGTGGAGAAGTTGGTAATATTGATGAAACAAAAATTTATGGAGTTGTAGCTCCTGAAGTATTAAGAGGAAAACTTTATACTCAAGCAGCAGATATATATAGTTTTGGAATGATTATGTATTTTGTAGCAACTGGAAGTCAACCTTTTGCCAATCGTGCTCACGATAAACTTTTAGCTTTAGATATTTGTAATGGAATTAGACCTGAAATAAATGAACCAAGAGCACCAAAATGCTATATCGACTTAATGAAAAAGTGTTGGGATTCAAATCCAAATAATAGACCAAATGCTGTTAAGATAGAAAGATTTATTTGGTTATTTCATTATTCACTTACATTAAGCGCATCAGAGTTTAAATTTTTTATGAAAATTGAAAAAGAGCAACATTATGAAATTGAAAAACAATTTAAAGAAGCAGAAGAATATAGTAAAGAAAATCCTCTATTTATTGAAGATATCCAATCAACTACACATCCACAAGCTATATATACATCTCGATTACTTAATCATTTCACAAAAGATCTTCCTTCAGAGTGTTTAGATTGCGAAATCTGATGTAAGTTAATTTGAGTTTTTGCAATTATTGATTATTATATTATTAACGTCCCTGTAAAAATAGTCGATCCGTTTTTTATATTCCATCTTTTTTCCGTAAAAGGCTCATATTTCCGGAATTAATAACTTTATATCATGGAATTTATCGAATTATTTATATTTTCCGTGAATAGATCCATGAAGGCTCATTTTTACGGAGTTTTTACAGAAATAACGGATAAAATTTTTTATAGGACGTATGTGGAATTGATTACATAATATGTTTAGTTTACCTATGTAAAATTTCTTGTACCTGGTATAATATTCAATATAACTTATACTTGATTTGAAATCAAAGACAAGAGGCAAAACTAGTCAGATATTTTATAACAATCTAAATTAAGTTCCTCCAGGAATATTATACAGTATATCGTCTCGTCATTTTTTTTTAATTTTTGATTTATTTATTTCGTTATATTTTATTTATTTACATATACTGTATTATATATCAATTATATATATTTATTTGTTATTATCTTATTTAATAAATATAAATTTATTGTTTGTAAATACTTTCTTTGTTCACTAAAAATTTTGTGGATCATGTTAATATAATTTAATTCACAATAAATAGATTCCAGTACTTCATATTTTTAAATATGAAGCCACTTATTGTATAAATTTTACAATTTGTATAATCAAAAAATTAAAAATACTAAAATTTGGTCAATATCAATCCAATAGACATATACTTACCACCATTTGAATCGGTCTCAATGAGATGAATTCAGAGAACTAAAATCGTGAAAATCTAATCACTGGATCAAAAAATATCGTAAGTAATATCTTAACTTTTACAGAGCAATCACAAGATAAACATCGATCCTATAAAATTAAATTATTATCACTCAATGATACGAATCTTATTTAATCCAAAATTATAAAAATCCAATCACCGGACCCAAAATATCCTTAGTATATAATTTTAAATTTTAAATTTTGTGAAACTTTTGTAAACTCGCAAAACTACATAATGCTACGTTTACATAAAACTTATCCTTGCGCACCTTATTAAACTTTCTGTCAAAAAGTCTATCAATAGGTTATCTCATAGTAATTATTGCAAATGAAGAAGAATTTATTAATATAAAATTTATTTAAACTAATAAAGACATAATGAATTTGTTTAGCTTAAATTTTTTGTTATTGCTATATTAACAAAGTTAAAAATTGGTTCTCATATCCCGCCCGCGTCTATTATAACCGAAATTTTTTTTTTATGATAACCAATAAAATGCTTCACATTTAAATCACATGAGTTTAAATCACATGAATGTACCAGCGTAAAATTTGAACTTTATTTATTTAAACTATATTTTAAATTTATAAACTTATATTTAAATGTTTAACATACATACTGCGTTGCTAAACACGAAATTAAAAGAAACTGTCTTTTTCAAGCATAAACGTTCAACTACTATAGTAAGAAATAATCTTTATATGTAAACGGTATGTTCAATTGAAGAAAGTATATGTTGACGCGTTTTAAATTTCTCATTCTATTAGAGGCACAGTCAAAAATGAAACCCAAATAATCATTTAATTTATAATATAATAGTACATGCAAGAATTAAAAGATGTATGTTTGCTTTATAAATTCATGTTTAAAAATGAGTATTTTTTGGACAAACATTTCTATAATTTATATATTTAAAAATGATTCTCATGCCAAACCCATATTATATTTATTAAATTGTTCGAATTAACTTGATATATAAATAAATACACAATACAATCTTTTTTTAATTTATATAAAGGTTTGCTTGACGATATCATTTCAATTCTCAAATTTTTATTGGCTTAAGATTTTTTTATTTAGAAATTAAAATCCGCGCGTCCACATCAAATTAAAGCAAATTTTGATATGAGAGCCAAATTTTTACTAACTTTATATTCCTTATATATATATAAATTTTTTCACTTTGAAAAGTGGCCAGATAATTTTGATCACTATCTGCACACTATATAAAGTTATTGCTGTTATAAACACATGTTTAGCCAAAAGTGGATATTAACATGTGTAAAGTTTTTACAAAATAATTGTACTTATTATTGTTCAGTCGATTTAAGAGACATCCAATATTGAAAACGTTATCAGTAACATTAATTCCTATTGGTCACCGCAGTATTCCTAATGACGGATGGAGATATCAGACTTCGACTGATATCTCTTTTCCCCATCCAATAATTATTTATTATAAAATTATGTAAATTCATATTAATAACATGAATATTCTAATAGTTTATTTCTTTTTCATTAACTTTGTGTATTATATTTTTTATAAAAAAGTTATTCACATCAAAACTAATAAAGCCTTCTATTTATCTTGAGATAAATTATTAAATTAAAAATAAAATTAGCAAAACACTGTATATAGGATACATAAATGATTATCTTCCAGTTAAATTACCAATATTAGTTGAAGAATGCAAACAAGAGACTTTAAAAGTAAATATTAAGTGGGTCATATAAAAAATTTTCTGGGAAAAATGATCATTTTTTAGTTTTCATTCCAAAAAAACTAAAATTTTGTGATAGTGAATTTTTTACTAATTAGAGGGACGTGCAATACATTTTAGTCAACATTGTGGTAATACTTGCATAAATAAAGTACGAGAAGCCTTAGATGATCAACAAACTAATATTATGGTGTCATGATCACAATTAGGTTTAACCATTCGATATCTTAGAAACTGAAGAAAAAAGGCAGCGACAAATAAATGAAAGATGAAGTTTTAAAGGAAAAAAAGGATAAGGAAAGAGAAGTCGGCATGTACAAAAAGTGTAATGGTGTATAAAGAAAAGAAAACTAAATACATGCTAACTGTTAATAAAGAGGTAAATAAATAAAAGTAATATCAGATATATATATAAATGTAAAAAGTATAGCTATCATTACTGTAAGAAATAAATCTTCATACAGCGTGATCATGTGAAATATAAATTTATGCAATCTATATCACGCGTAATAAACAACTACAGTCAACCCTCGATACAACGAACCCTCCGGGTTTCACCTATAAGATTATAGCGAAGGACTTAAAGAATTTAATTGGCTGATTCGTAATATTCATTTATTTTATTTATTATTTATTTTATTTCTTAAAAAGTGGTTATCGGGATCAATCCCAAAAATAACCGTATGTGCAACAAAAAAAAATACAAAGAAGGTTCTATGTAGATAGAAAATCGATATTCATCCCAGCGGCAGGACCTCATCCTTCGATAGTAACTATTTTAACAGTAAAACTATCGCTACTGAGAAAATTAACGCACTAAAAAAAGGGACCACAACCCTAAAAAAAAAAAATTTATTAAGATCCGTATTTTGCTTTCGGCCAAAGGCCGCTACTTGTCAATACTGTTAGAAGTGGAATGGTTCACACTATTCTAAATTGTTTGAAATTTTGAATGATGTAGTAAAAAAAATTAATAAACTACATGTGTAAAATTAATATGACTCTAAAATTATTCCCAACTATGGTAAGTACTAATCCCCCATCTGAAGAGTCATCATGTTCAAAGAGATCGGTCGAGGGACAGGGTTTTTTCTCTGCATGTTCGAACCTGTGTGAATTCAGGTTATAGTTGTCGTTAACGTTTCGTTTGTATGGACGCGTTTCGAGAGTTTTGGTGTCGTCCGAGGTGATACCTTTGTAACGGTAATGTGCTTGGTTTGGTTCTATAACTGAGAAGTAGTCTATTTTAAAATTAAATTCCGACTCAAGTTCGGCGATTTTGAAGAATTTTTATTTTTGTACGACGTTGGGAAAACGAAGTCACTAGTTTGTTGGTATAGTTTTGGAATTGTGTGAGGTCACGTGTCATATCGACGTGTTCATCTTTTTCTGACTTCTCAAGAAGTTCTTGTTTGTGTTTTACATCTGCATCGTAGCAACGTTTGAGTCTTTTTAATTCATCGAATCATTTTTTGCTGCCTGGTTCTAAAAGAATTTGCTTTCTGCATCTTCGTTGTATATAAAGGACTGTTCGGTACAAATGGTTTTAAATCATCCGGAATGTCTATATCTTGAGGAGTAGTAGCGACAGCCGACAGGAGTGATAGACGGATGTTGAAGAGGGATTTGATCGTAAGTCGAGACCGAGGTATTCCCATCGGTCGGGTATTGATATCTATAGGTGGATTAAGTCTCATCGTTCGATTAAATAACGTCGTAGGGAGTAAAAATTGTTAGGATTTATCAAATTTGTGATATCTTAAATGTTTAATCGATTTATTAATTAATAACGTGTGATTTAAAAATAAAAATCGATGTTTTTTGGTCACGGCCAATTTGTATTCCATGTCCATATGGATCGGATCGGTGATTTGTTTATGAGTAGAATGGAAGACGCGATCACAGCGTCGTTTGAAACGAGCATGTTGTTTCTTTGCGGTACGATTATTTAGACTATACTTTTGACGAAAATTGTCAAACCGTTTTCGATAAATATATCTTTTGTCGTGATTGATGAAGAATTGACGGTTATTAGCTTGATAACGGACCGTATATTCAATGCCGATTGCCGAGACGACGAGAGTAAACATTTTTGCCAGGTTGTGTAACTCATCTTTGACAAAGTAGATTAGCGTGTGATACTTTGTCGTTGTTTTGTATTATAGCCGTAATAGATATATTTGGTTTTTTGAAGTTTTTGAAAACGTGGTTCGCGAAAGGTTTTTTTGATAATGGACGCAAGCGCGTCGGTCATGTGACATGATGATAGGACTAGGTGTAAAGGAGGTCTGGAGTGAGTCGGTAACGTTTGTATGTGAAGTTAAAAAATGTTTTTGATATTCTATTATTTTTTTAACTGAGACGTTTTTCGTGAGTTAATGATGGAAACGCGTTCCAGTAATTTACTTCTAATCATGTCGAAATATTTTTGTTGAATTTGTCGTGGTAACACTTTTTGAAAAGAAAAATATGTGAGAGCATTTTACTGATTTGGTATTTTA